CTTCGAAGTATATAGTTTATCTAGATTGTAATAACTTGTACGGGTATTCGATGGCAGAACCAATGCCTCTTGGTGGATTTCATTGGATCACGGCTGATCGATTTCTATCGGAGACAGAAAAAAAGATACCCGAAGATGTTTCCTATTTCGTTGAAGTTGATCTTGATTATCCAAATTCGCTACACAAATTACATAACGATTACCCTTTCTGTGCGGAATCGATGGTCATAGATTATAGTTTGTTATCAAAAGAACAACAAGCGTTAGCATTACCAAGACAACATTCTATGGTAAAGAAACTAGTACCAAATTTGCTTCATAAACGTAATTATGTTTTGAATTACAAAGCTTTAAAACAAGCAGTCGATGCTGGTCTCGTGTTGCGAAAAGTTCATTGCGTACTAAAATTTAATCAGTCGCCGTGGATGAGAGGTTATATTAACTCGAACACTACAAGAAGAGCTGCGGCAAAAACTGATTTTGAGAAAAACTTTTTCAAACTGATGAACAATTCTGTTTTTGGTAAGACGATGGAGAATATTAGGAAACGCGTAAATATCGAACTAGTCAATGATGTCAATCGCAGAAACAAACTTGTGTCAGACGATGATTTTGTGAGCATGAAAATTTTTAATGAGAATCTTGTTGCGATACAAAGAAGAAAAACAAATCTAAAACTAAACAAGCCGATCTACGTTGGAGCTTCAGTGTTAGATTTATCAAAGTGGCTGATGTACGATTTTCATTATAATTTTGTTAAAAATCAATGGCCGGCTAGTAGATTATTATTTACTGATACTGATTCGCTCGTATATGAAATCGAATGCGAGGACGTCTATCAGGATATGCATGATAATAGATATCTGTTTGATCTTTCTGATTACCCACGTGACAGTAAATTTCATGACGACACAAATAAAAAGGTTATTGGTAAGTTCAAAGATGAAATGAACTCGAGCGCTATCAAATACTTTATCGGATTACGTAGTAAAATGTATGCCGTATTGTTAGACAATAATAAAATAACAAAAAAAGCAAAAGGTCTGCCTCGTGATTTTGTTAAAAAGTTTATAAAATTTGATGACTACAAGTATGCGCTTGATGGCGGTGTTAGTTTTATAAGAGCTATGTCAATTCGGACAAATCATCATAAGCTCGAAACAGATGTCCTTATCAAACGCGGTTTGAGCAATTTTGATGATAAACGTTATTGCGAAAATGGGGTAGATACACTTGCACTTGGGTATTGTCATGATGATAGAGATATACTTGACATTATCTTTGCAAAGTAAAATTTTATCTAAACTTAAGAAATAATGTTTGAAAATTTGACAGTGACAAATAGCTACAGTAGCAAAATCAAATATCTAATGATGGACGACAAACCATTGACAGTTGAAATTAATAATGAAACATCAGGCATATGCTTTAGTGGTACCCGTGACAAGTTAAAACTTTCGCTCATCAGATCTGATGACAGCCAGTATTTTAATTATCTCGAACAATTGTATCAAAAGTTGCTAGCGGAATTTAAAAACTTTCACTGTCCGATTAGTCAGCAAAAATACACCAAACTTACAATTGATCTTGATCGGTCAAAGGTGTATTTTATCGACAAAAAATACCCTCTTAACAAATCACAAATAAAAGATTTGTTTGAGTCCCGTCGTTATGTGAGTGGTAAAGTAAAGTTTAGCCTCTATTACCATGATAATGAAATATTTTTGATATCTACAGTTGAAACATTAACAGTTGGTAATGAGGTATAATACCACTTACCTTACTGGAATTCTAATGCGTAATTTAGTCCACAATCGCCACGCTCTGCTAGATCGTAATGATTTGGAAAATTGAGTCTGACATATCATTTTGCTTATTCTGGAAGATCACGTAATTAAATTTTACCTGTTACCTAGATATTTTGCAACAGGTGTTCTATTGTATTTGTTTGGAGGTCTAGAGGGGTGGGGAGAGGGGTTGTTGAGCTCGGATTCTTAGTGCAATTATTGATTGCAACAGGTGTTCTATTACGTTACCTAGGTATTTTGTATTTGTTTGGAGGTCTGGAGCAGTGGGAGAGGGGTTGTTGAGCTCGGATCTTACTTTCTTCTACTACTATTAATGAACTTATTAATGAGGAATTATCATTATAAAACTTTTTGAATCAGTTGAAATTTTGGTTCTTATATCTTGCATAAATGTAATGGAGATATTTATTTCATTAAATTAATTGTATATATGGAATACTTAAAGACCTATAATACTTATGTCATTAAATGAATTGTATATATGGAATACTTAAAGACCTATAATACTTATTAAGTCATTAAATGAATTATATATATGGAATACTTAAAGACCTATAATACTTATTATGTCATTAAATGAATTGTATATATATGGAATACTTCAAGACCTATAATACTTATTATGTCATTAAATGAATTGTATATATGGAATACTTAAAGACCTATAATACTTATGTCATTAAATGAATTGTATATATAGAATACTTAAAGACCTATAATCCTTATTATGTCATTAAATAAATTATATATATGAAATACTTAAGGACCTATAATACTTATTATGTCATTAATTGAATTGTATATATGGAATATTTAAAGACCTATAATACTTATTAAGTCATTAAATGAATTGTATATATGGAATACTTAAAGACCTATAATACTTATGTCATTAAATGAATTGTATATATAGAATACTTAAAGACCTATAATCCTTATTATGTCATTAATTGAATTATATATATGGAATACTTAAAGACCTATAATACTTATTGTGTCATTAAATGAATTGTATCTATGGAATACTTAAAGACCTATAATACTTATGTCATTAAATGAATTGTATATATGGAATACTTAAAGTCCTATAATACTTATGTCTTAAAATGAATTTTATATATGAAATACTTAAAGACGTATTACACTTAATATGTCATTAAATGAATTATATATATGCAATACTAAAAGACATAATCCTTTTTATGTCATTAAACGAATTGTAAATATGGAATACTTAAAGACCTATAATACTTATTATGTCATTAAATGAATTGTATATATGGAATACTTGAGGACCTATAATACTTATTATGTCATTAAATGAATTGTATATATGGAATACTTAAAGTCCTATAATACTTATTATGTCATTAAATGAATTATATATATGGAATACTTAAAGTCCTATAATACTTATGTCTTAAAATGAATTTTATATATGAAATACTTAAAGACGTATAATACTTAATATGTCATTAAATGAATTGTATATATGGAATACTTAAAGACCTATAATACTTATTATGTCATTACATGAATTATATATATGGAAATATTTATACAATTAAATGAACTGTATATATGAAATACTTAAAGACCTACATTACTTATTGTTGTTGTTGTTGTTGTTGTTCTGTAGCTTAATGCCATTTTTCAGCACAGTAGTAATGGTGGAGGAAGAAACCAGGAAATCACCTGAAAGAACCACCGACCAATGAGAAGCTACTGGCAAGCTTTCTCACATATCTACATTTTTGGAATCTTAGACTTGAACCCACACATTGGTGAGAGTGCTTTAGAGCACTCGGGGGCCCCTCTAAATTACTTATCATCTGTAGCATGATCTGTTGATATTGATAGTAAATAAAGTATTGTGTTAAATAATTTGCTGTAGCATGATGTGTTGGCATTGATACTAAATAAAGTATTGTGTTATATAATTTGCTGTAGCATGATGTGTTGGCATTGATACTAAATAAAGTATTGTGTTATATAATTTGCTGTAGCATGATGTGTTGGCATTGATACTAAATAAAGTATTGTGTTATATAATTTGCTGTAGCATGATGTGTTGGCATTGATACTAAATAAAGTATTGTGTTAAATAATTTGCTGTAGCATGATGTGTTGGCATTGATACTAAATAAAGTATTGTGTTATATAATTTGCTGTAGCATGATGTGTTGGCATTGATACTAAATAAAGTATTGTGTTAAATAATTTGCTGTAGCATGAGGTGTTAGCATTGATACTAAATAAAGTATTGTGTTAAATAATTTGCTGTAGCATGAGGTGTTGGCATTGATACTAAATAAAGTATTGTGTTATATAATTTGCTGTAGCATGATGTGTTGGCATTGATAATAAATAAAGTATTGTGTTATATAATTTGCTGTAGCATGATGTTTTGGCATTGATACTAAATAAAGTATTATGTTATATAATTTGCTGTAGATTTTTTCGGATTTATACAATTTGCTGTCCAAAACTATTTAAAGTATAAGTGGTATGTATATCTATTAAGTATTTTTACTTCTGGTGCACGACTGTAGATTGCAATGAGTTATAAACTGGCGTTTACAAGTTTAAAAAGCAATCTGTTTATAAGTTTAGGGTAATTTATACCATTAAATGATTAAGCCAGATGGGTTTTGGTTGTAACATGGAGTTGTATTGTGAAATATGTCACATGGAAGGTATTGCTACATAGATTCAGTAGGAAGATAATGTGACGTAGAGTCATAGAGTTTATAAGGTCAAAGAAGTGGAGAATGAATTCATTTGTATTTTATTGTTTTGATATCATTTTCCATATGTATTTAACATTGTGCTTAGATTTAATTGGAGTGGAAACATTTATTTACGTTATCTACTGGCTCAAAGTTCTCATATGACTGGACTAGAGCAACATTTCAAGATAGTCATGAATTCATTCAAAGGAGTTTTGGACAATGCCATGTGATACATCAAGACTGTGGGCACTTCAGCATATTCAAGACTATATTAGCACAATTGTGACATAAAATTCAGTTGGAACATTCTTTTGGACTTGTCATAGAACTTTAAGAATTAATTTGGATTTAATTCACAATACTTTAAGTTCCTCTTAATTTTTCATTTCATAGCATAGAGAAGTAAATTATTTGCCAAATTTTACAAAACTTCTTGGTTTTGCTTCTTTCATTTACTTAGGACCACTCTGGTGGCTTAGTGGTTTTAGCATCCACCTCAAATGTGGGAGGTCATGGGTTTGAGCTACAGCCAAGTCATCCCAAAGACTTATATAAATGGTACCAACTGCTGCCTCACTAGGCACTCATCATTATGATGTTAGCATTAGGACTGGTCAGCCTGGTGCCAGGGTAACATGACAGGGTGGGACATCATGCCACATGTCTGTGGCATGATACCCCAGTGATAGACATCACTATAAACTGCCACACTGCTGACATCATAGTGATATGACTCAAAAACTGTTAAAGCTATATTAAAATTCCAAGTCACACACACACACACACACACACACACACACACACACACACACACACACATTCTGATACTTAAAGACCAGAAAGCCATAACATAGGGTCATAAACTAAGTAAAAGAAATAAGGAAAACCAACATGGTTTGTAAAACTAAAACAATTTAATTATCAATGTAATAAATGAAAATGTGAGAGGAACTTGAAGTATTTTGAATCCAAAATAATCCTGATAATGTTCTATCAAAGTCCTAAAGAATGAAAAGTTATGTATAAGTTTCAAGACAAGAAATTTACTGGTCTGGCATGATACATGATATTGTCAAGATGGTGTTTTCCAGAATTCCTTTAAATAATTTATAACAATTCTAGAATAATATTATAGTTTAATTAATAAGCACTTTAAATGTCCAATGAACAGTCCAAACAACAAACATATTTCCTCTCACATAATATAAAAGCACAATCTAATACATGTTCTCTAGACTAACAAAGAAATAAGAATTACGCCAAAATAGGAATGAATCTGATTGCTTACTTCCCTTCTTATATGCAACTTCACCACAACATATCCCCCCCCACGTGACAGATCATACTACTCAATTTTGTCTCAAAATTACCAAGTCATGCGACCTAGCCCAACCCATGGGAAGTTACTGAATTATTCTAGAATAGTCCAAATACCATCAGCTAATAAGAAATTAAACCAAAGTTGTCATGAAGTTTTATTATTAAGATTATTAATAGTAACTGTCAACACATGTATTAGCATCTATTTATAGATCCTATAAAATTTTATGCTCCTAATAATCCTAAAACAGAGACAGGTCATCAAGGCAAAATCTAACTGAAAATAATCTGTACAATTTACAACCAAGAATAAAAATTACAAAAATTAGATAAAAATCATGTACCTGCAGTTACAAGAAATATAGATATACAGAACATAAGCACCTTTCCTTAAGTATCCAATGGAATATTGAACAGAGCATACAAAAGGAGACGGAGTTTCCTCCCTTACTGGATGAAATTATCTCTTCAAGAGTTACCTCCTGTAATTCCTTCCAGTCTTTCTCGACACAAATTAAATATAAAAACTTAATACTGAGATGATTGTCTTTAAATGCCATTTCTTATTGGTCCAATACTACTGCAAATACACAACAAAAATATATTCATATCATCAATGTTTCCTGTTCATCGGATAAAATCTAAATTCAATAAATTTAAAATTCAAACAGCACAAATATTATACATTCAAAATGTTTGACGAACTTGAAATAACATTTTCTCCTTTAAATATATTTAGAATTTTTATATTTCTCAAATTCCATATAGTTTGAATTTGTAAGTTTCATAAATGTTCTTTCCCCTTTAAGGCAAAATAAAGCATACAGCTCTTTCCAATTGGTCGGGGAAATTAAGGATGTACACTTTGGGAAACAATTTAGGGCTACCACTTGACTAAATTCTTTAGTCCAATTTTGCTTGCGAGAAGTCAAATTTGAGATTTCATGGCAAACCTGAGGGTAGAGTTATCCCTGGTTAAAAATATAGAAAGGTGCAGACAGTTGTCTTAAAAAGGAGGACAGGCTAGGACACGTCATAAAGGTACTAAATTTAATATTCTATTTCATTTGTTTGGCTTGTTTGCAAATGTTTTGATATGCTTATGATTCACACATGTATGGTGTATTCATTTCGGAGGACTCTACTGATTGGTAGTTTTATGCCGTTTAATTCTTTTTTTTTTTTTACAATTATTAGTTCATTGAGGGAATTGAAGAACTGCATGTAATTAAATATTCAATGTGTGAAATTTCACAGAGATTATGATGTACCTCAAAGAATGCAATTATGCAATATTTCATGGGGATTTATGAATTAACCCTTATATAGAAATTTGTGATATTTATTGTGATATATGAATTCTTTTTCTATGTAGAAAGATATTTGCTATCGCGAGCTAACGACAAGTGTATATGACTTCGTAATATCTCAATGATCATGCAGGTTACTTTAATGTAGCTAAATTTAGTAGATATTATGCCATAAGTAATTGAGCATTTATTTATCTGGTCAATATGTGGCGAAAACCTACGTAAATATTATTCAAATAACGAGTAATTGGGACTGAGAGAGACACGTAAACGGTTGTAAAGAGACGGTTCTTTTAAAGGGAAAAGAGAGAACCTCAAATCAACGCGTCTTAATTTCATGCATTATTTTTTTCTTTATATTGTTCTTAAACTGATTTGTCTCAAATTATATATTAATCGTGTATGCTAAATAATGATTATTATTGTAAATGGCGCTTTGTGCCAATGAATTATTAGTTAGCAATGGTGTAATTAAGCAAAGTGAATTTTATTTCACCTAATTGTTTAACTCTTATGTGAATTCTTTGAACCTATGTATCAAACTGGAGACGCAATGTGGGCTATATAGTCCTTTCTCGTCAGCTACATGTGTGTTGTGTCTGACATCTAGTTTAAATAATTATTGATAGTTCGCACTGTAGCGGCTCAAGTGTCATTAAGTAAGAGCAAGCTATGATATCGATCAAATAGTAATAGTAACTAGTTCTGTTCGAGTACTACATTAATTTGTCTGTACTATGATAATTGTCTACGAAAGGAGAAATAGAGGATATGAAGACAAATATGCATGGTTGTACTGAATGCAAGATTATGACCTGAAACCAACTAGCAGTAGCTGTCGGTTGGGAAATATGATATTGGTAGTCTGAGTAGCGAGAGGGGAGTGTACATTTAGTTCAGGGTGTGAGACAATGAACAGACATTTGGGTTGCACTTATCTTCTTCTTAAATAGGAAACTGCCTCCACGACTGATAATAAACATGAGTGGAAGACCAGCATGATAGACTGGCCTCTAAAGTCGGTGACCGAAGGGTACGTCAGAGGGAACAAGATGACCACAGCCGACTAGTTAGAGTTTGGAGAGTGACCAGCACCCAGTTATCAGTTTATGTAAACATGCCGAACAATTAAAGTTCGAAACACTCGCTCGATTTGGTGACAAAATTTCCCATATCTATGAAAACAAAGCTGCTAATTAGATGTCTTAATTTATTTCTGATATAGCCGCATCCTACAATTGATCTTGTAGTATTTTATTTTGCTTATCTAATTAAATTGTTATTCTACATTCGCAGGTGGAGGCTCGTCTTGTTTTATTTTATATCTCCGCTCAGATCTCGATTTATTCTATCCAATAATTTCATATTTTAATTTTCGTTCAATCTTGGCTAATAACACTGTGGTCTATCATATTCTAAACATCGATAATCAACACAAATACAAAGCGAAATAATGAGAAACTCAGTGACAAGAAGCTTTTTATGAATTGACAAGCGACATAGTGAGACTATAACAAAGACTGGACTATGTTTATGAATTGCAAAGCAAGATAGAAAAAACTAACCAAGTCAGTAAGAACGTGGCGCAAGAGATTTTTACGACTGAACGCAGAGAG